CCCTTCAAATTTATCTTTAAAAATAGTATTTGTGAACCCTTAAATAAATTAATTTGGTGAATAAATAAAATTATGTAATTAACAGTACTCTTTAAATTTTAACATGTCAAAATATAGTCTAAATTTTAATTATTTTCATAAATTTATGTTTAATATTTTTTAGTAATATATCAATTGTACTTTTCATTAGCCCCAATAGTTAATATATTAACAAAAACAAATTCTTTGAATGCAATAAATACATGGGGTAATGGCAAATAGGCCCATGAGAAGGGCACTTAATTAAAAGAGGGAAATCCAATTTTTTTGTCTTTCAAATAAATCCATCCCATTCAAACTTATTTGCAAATAAGGAAAATCCTTTTATGTATACCAAAATTACCCCCAATGCATTGAAACCCAATTTAACTCCAATTTCATGATTTACACCCCAATTTAGCCCAATTTCATCAATTAACCAATTTTAACCATAATTTCAATTTTGACCCCAATTTTGACCCGCCACCACCGGAGACCGCCGGTCGCCGCCGTTGACCGGCGTTGACCGCCAGTCTCCGGTGTTGACTTTTTTTTTTTATAATTTTGTTTTTTCTTAAAAAATATTTTAATTAATATTACTGTCTTGGCTACTAAATTACTGTCTCCGGCAGTTATTTAACTGTCGGAGACAGTAATTTAACTGTTAATTGACTCTTTTGTTTTGTTTTTTTTTCTTCAAAAATATTTTAATTAATATTACTGTATTCGTTGTTAAATTACTGTCTCCAACAGTTATTTAACTGTCGGAGACAGTAATTTAACTGTTAATTGACTTTTTGATTCTTAAAAAAAAAATTAATTAATATTATTGTATTCGCTGCTAAATTACTGTCTCCGGCAGTTATTTAACTGTCGGAGACAGTAATTTAACTGTTAATTGACTTTTTTTTTTCCTTAAAAAAAATTATTTTAATTAATATTACTGCCTTGGATGTTAAATGACTGTCTCCAACGGTAATTTAACTGTCTTAGACAATAATATTAATAATATTACTGTTCGGAAAAATAATATTCATAATATTACTGTCTGAGACAGTAATGTAGTAGCCAAGACAGTAATATTAATTAAAATATTTTTTTCTAAAAAAAACAATTCAAAAAAAAAAAAGTCAACGCCAGAGACCGGCGGTCAACAGTAGTTGACCGGCCGGAAAAAAATTCTGGGAAAAAAAAAGTCAACGCCGGAGACCGGCGGTGTCCGGCGGTCAACGCCGAAATCTGGCCGGAAAAAAAAACATTTCAGAAAAAAAATTATTTTCTGAAAAAAAAAAGTTTTGGGGGTTAATGTGATATATTTGTTTAAATTTGGGGTCAATGTATAATATTAAGGAAGTTAGAGTATAATGGGTGGAATTGATAAGAATTATATTATTGAGGGTATTTTAGACTAAAGACATGGGGATGGGCTTAATTGAGAGACTGTTTTTTTTCTTACCAAAATGCATTTAAGTCCCATGTGATGGGTTTTTTTGCCATGTGCCAAAAAAACAAAGTATATATATGTAATTATTAAAATACACAAAATATCAATTTCAACTATTCTAGGAAAGTCAATACATCCATGTAACAAAAAATCTAAACAATTCTTAAATTTTCAAAATGATAATAAATTGAAAATAATCTAAATTTACAAATCTTTGTAGTTGTTTAGTCCATTATATATAATCGTAATACACATCAACTAAAACTATTGAAATGGATCAAACTCGCGGCAGCCGGAGGAGCCTTCTCCACCACCATGGTTGCCGAAGATATAATCATTTATCGTCGTCGTCAACTCACCATATTCTTCCTCTTCTTCCATTGTAGTAGCAGCAACAGGCGGTAAGGGAACATAATACCCCGTTGTCGGAGCCGCCGGTGGTGGTGGTGTTGGCGGCAGCGGCCGCACCATGTGAGAACCTTGCAGCTCCTGACACTGAACGAACCCACTACCACCGCCGCGCCTGACGAACTGCGGCAGAGGATTCATAGAGCTTCGATCAGAGTCCTTCTGGGCACGATGCTGGTTGAGGAAAATGGTGAGTGGCTCCAAATAGTTAGTGAACCCCAACGAGGCCATTGCCGCCAGCACGTCCTCTGGCGTGATGGTTTTTCGGTATTCGCGGTGGCACCGCCCGTTCGCCTCTATGGTGATGAAGCTGATGAACTCGGAGATGCACTCTTGGATGACCTCCTTGGCGTCGTCGGCGATTTTGGCGTGGGCGGGGAGAATGCTTCGCATGATGCGTATGATATTGGCTATTGGCATGTACTGGTCCGCATCTCTTTTGAAGCCTTGCTGCTGCTCCAGGTTTACCTCTCCGGCGGCGGCGTTCGGTGGGGAGGGGATGTTAGCAATAGCATTGGTGGTGGTAGAAGCGGCAGGTGGGGCGTCTCCTTCGGTGATGATAATGCCTGAAATGAGATATATATAATATTAATCGGTTAAAAATTTTAATCGCTGCTTGAACTTAAATCAGAATCACTAATTTTTGCTTACTTAAAAGCGTTTGCAAACACCACCTTAATTACAAAATAATATATCTCAATACTCCCAGTGATCTTTAATTTGTTAAACTTCATATGTAGTTCCAAAGCATGCATATACACAGTTCACGTATAAATTTGTAAATCAAATGTACACATAACAATATAAAACACATATTATAGAGGATGCATGCGATATTGATTCGATATATGAAATCCAATAAAGAAAAATCAATATTTTTCGAAAATATATTAACCGAATAAACTTAAAACTCGAACTTATTCAAAGGACACAAATGAAATTGAGTAGCAATTTTTTTGTCCAATAGCTAACAAATTATGTAAAAGAAAGACGAGAAATTCACTTTTATTAGATATTCAATAACATTTTATATTATACATGTTTAATTTTATTTAATACAACTATATTATAAGAATATGTTGATGATGTCATTATTTTATATACACATGTCTCGATAAATGAAATACGAGAAATAATTTAGAAACGAAATAGAGATGTATCCAACAACAACAATTTAAGATTTTATTGAATAACTTTCCCCTTTTCATCACAACGAATGTCATCCCACATTAAGAATCCTTTCTAATTTTCTCCATATAGAATCATATATATATATATATATATATATATATATATATATAAAAGTTTGTGTGTGTGTGCGCGCGCGGTGCGCATGTGTGTAGTGAAAATAGAAAAAGGAAATCAAGAGGAAACAAAGAAAATTGGAAATGAAATTAGTATGTACATGAACAAAATGAAAATAATATATATTACCGTATGTTCTATGCAAAAAATTAAAAACTACCACAAAAATTAAAATACGTTACAGTAAAACATAAATATAAATAAATAAATAAGATAGAATGATATTCGAAAACGACAAAAAAATGCTTGTCTTGTTTATCTAAATTCACACAAGGACATCCATGAAGCACGGAAAAAATTTATGAACTTTAATTGCACCAAATTCGCTAATAGAATATCAATTATCCAAAAACCAAACACAATGAATTAACACGTCTTTTTATTCCCGCAAGTGAGAGATGTGGATACAAACAAATCTATGCATATTATATTGTTCATATAGATTTTGTTTTAAAAACCGAACATTAGGAAAAATTACCAGATGTACGTGCTCTTCTGGTATATTTTTGTTCTATGTCTGAGCTTCCTCTTTTCTCCATCTTCAAATTTTACTTTTGATTCAATTTTTGTTTTTTTTTTTTTGTTTTTTTTTCACCTTCTATGTTTTGTGTACACAAATGTAACACAATAAATTTTATCCCTCTTACTCTTATGTGTGTAATTACTTAATGTGAAGTGTTTAAGGCACAATTGCATTCAATACATCGATAATTAAGACCTTTAAAATGAGTCCACAAGTGTAGGATTAGGGTAGTGAAGATAGGGGCAAAATGAGCAAACAATATTAATTTTTGTTCCTAAAACCTAAAACTGGCGTATGTAGAATGGAAAAGTCCTATTTTGCTTCCATTAATTGGTGAATAAAAGATTTTGTGGAATTACTCGATTTAAAGACTAAGCGAATTGTTGAAGAGCACAAAAAATTTACTACTGAATATGATTTATTTTTTCTACTCAAGATGATGAAATATATGATTTTTATGAATATTAGACTTGATGTATATAAATTAATGTGAAATAACAAAAAAAATATGTCAAAAAGATTGCAGAAATTTAGTGAAAATCCTAATTAGCAATATTACATATATATGAGTTGTTATACTTCTAGTTGTTTAATTTTATTTATAAAATGGAATTAATATTGATTCGGATGCTATCATTTATTTGTCGCTACAATGCTAAAAAAATATCCAAAAAATCATTAATTCGGGATAGACACGACTTGAATGGCAACCATTTAATCTGTTTTAAAAAAGAATTGTTGAATTGTTATAATAATAATATCATTGTATTTTCTAGAGAGATCTTTAACATAAATGTTAAAGGCTAATTGCATTTATTAGTTGCAAGGTTGAAGTAATTAATTTTTATATTTCTTGAATTCTAAAAGCAAATACAGTAGAACCTCGATAAATAAATAGTCGATAAATTAATAATCTCGATTAAATAATAGTTTATTTCGGCTCCGACTCGGTGAAAATGTATCAAATTATTAACTCGATAATTTAATAATTCGCTAAATTAATATAGAATTTTCCGAATCCCGACTGTATTAATTTATAAAGGTTTAACTGTAAAATGTAATAAATATGTTTAGGTCAGAATTTTTTATTGGAGCTATATGACAAAACCCACTCAATGAAATTTTATGTTATGATAAATCCAATTTTTAATTTGAAATTTGATATAAACCCATTTGACTGTAATTATCTAAAATGCCCTTATTATACTCTCTCTCCAAAATAACTACCACATAAATCTCACGACATTTCAGTTTTTTATTTTTTTCATTCTTTTTCTTTTTTTGATTTATTTCAAAAAAAATATAGTTTTTTTAATTCTAATTATTTTAAAAATACTTCTATTTTATTTAATTTTTTTATTTAGTTTTTTCTTTTTTTTCAACAGGTAGTTTAAAAATTATGATTTTAACTCTCAATTTTTTTTTAATGTCAATTTTTTAATTTTTTTTATCACGGTTACAAAAGTTAAAATTCACTATATACTCATCGAAAATTATTATATATTTTCGAAAATTACTATATATTTTCGAAAACCACTATAAAATTATATTACCCTAAAATTCACGGTAAAATTAACGTAATCCACTTTAATATTATCATTTTCCACAACAAACTTATCGAAATCCACTAAAAACATATGAAATCCACTACGAATGAACGTAATCCACTACTAAAACAACTCAAAAAACAACGAAAAAAATTCGCAAATCCACTATTCATAAATCCACTAATTCGAAACGTAAATCCACTAAAAAAATTCACTATTTGGTCCAGCAAAAGTGCAACGCCACCACCAACAAGGATCGTGAGGCGTCATTCCGGGTGTTATACTACGGCGACGCCACCACTTAAGTGTCATTCACGAACGCCCAAAACACACGTTCAACGACAAACCCTCTCTTGTGGAACTCCGAGTGGTGCCACATGTTTCCAACCAAGCCCCCCGCCTTCTTGGTAACCTCTGCACCCTTCTTTCTCCATTTACACAACATCCATAACCTTGTCGCATTATCTAACATCCATCCGCGCCGCCATTGCTCGATCAGTCAAGAAACTGTAACAAGGAAAAAGAAATTGAAGACATGTCAATTCATTTCATTCAAAACAACTCCCTTTCCAAGCAACTTAAAATCCACTCAAATGTTATCGAAATCCACTATAAAATTATCGAAATCCAATTATCGAAGTTCACTATAAAGTTATCAAAATCAAATAGAAAATTAACTTACTCCACAACCAAATTAACATAATCAACTATGTAACTATCTAAATCCACAATTAAACTATTTGAATAAAAAAAATTCCCATCAAGTGTAAAATTAGGATTGTGAAGGTAGGGGCAAAATGAGCAAATAATATTAATTTTTGTTCCTAAAACCTAAAACTGGCGTGTGTAACAATGGAAAAGTCCTATTTTGCTTCCATTAATTGGTGAATAAAAGATTTTGTGGAATTACTAAGTGAATTGTTGAAGAACACAAAAAATTTACTACAGAATATGATTAATTTTTTTTTTTTTTACTCAAGATGATGAAATATATTATTTTTATGAATATTAGACTTGATATATATATAAAATTATAAATTAATATGAAATAACAAAAAAAATGTCAAAAAAGTTGCAAAAATTTATTGAAAATCCTAATAAGCAATATTACATATATATATGAGTTCTTACACTTTTAACTGTTTAATCTATATATAATATAAAAAGAGGATCTATGGCCTCAATGATTAACATGTGGCAAATGATGATGTCATTTGTCAAAATTGCTTAGTTGGAGTTCAATTGATTAGGCGGATTCTTCAATTGATTATGTGGCATTTTTATTTATGGATGTTTTTAAGTTCTTTCCTATTTTACATTTACACAATCATTTAATAATTACCACATGTATATATATTATTTCCAAAGTTAATATTTTATAAATTCGAATTAAAAAAAATGTTATTTATATTTTCAGTATTTCAAAATATATTTATTGAAAAAAATTCATGAAACTCAATTTCTTTACGAATATTCAAATAATTTTCATAAAAAAAAATATTTTTTTAAATACTAAAATATTAAAATAAAGGAATATGTTGTTTTTTTTTTCAATATTTTAGAATATTCGAATATCCATTCCATTAAAAATAATAATAAAAAAAATGTTTTATTTTTTAGTTGAACTATTTAATAAATATACACTATTGTTTGTATATAATTTTTATATACCATATTTCAAATTAAAAATAATTATACTATTTAATAAATATGCAATATTTTGAAATTTGAAAATTTAACAATTTAAATGCAGTATATTTTAATAATTTAAAGCACATTTGTTGTTTTCTAAATTTTTTGTGATCTCCAGCCTGCAATTGTTAGGATAAGAAATTGTTTTCTAAATGCAGTAGTTTGTCAGTATATTTCGAAAACAATATTTAACATATAATATGTTTCGAACTATAAACCGGATTATGCATTATATTTGTCAATTAATATTTCAAATAAAATATCAAATCACCAATATAAAAGAATATTTAATATTCCAAGATTCCTTCATATCATCTTTGATTGATTTAATTTACACTTTAATTCAAACTTGAATGGTAAAAAATAAAAATCGTATCTTCATATTTAATGTTTTTATATTGCAAGATTTTTTTCCACAAGTTATTATTATTTTTTTTTTTTGGATTGTTTCTTTTATTTGTTTGATTTGATTTCATTTACTAATATATAAATCTTTTGAATTTTTTATTTTTCCATAGAATTAAGTTCATTTTCAATACTATATAAACCCCTCAATGTTCATTTCATTTTTATCTACCACCATTCGATTACAAAGTGCACAATGTTCGTATTATACAGTTTCATATTATATTTTTTTTTATCATTTCTTATAGATTATTATAAGTATATATACATAGTTTTATATTCATAATTATTTTTATATACACATATAGTACTATTTGTATTTCTTTATTTTGGGTTTTAATTTTAATATATTTTTTTAATTGTTTTCATGCAGTTTATTAAATAAAGTCGTTCGTACTTTATGAAGATCAAAAAAATTGTTTGCGCTTAGTCCAAACAATGAGTTCTTTGCAACGCGTATTTTGATTCTAATTTCGATCCATGTATGTGCGTCTCATGTAGGGAATCAATCAAAGTCGTTCCATGCTCTGGATCTTGCATTGTATGTGGGATGACTGAAATGGAAGATTTCAAATCTTTCTTTTGTTGTGGGTTATGCTGAGGCTTTTATACATGAACGATGTATTCCTACAAATCATTGTTGGACCAATGGATCCACATGGATGTGTGATTCATGTGATTGGTTATTTAATATGTGTATGTACCAACCCTTTGCAATTCAAGAGAATCTCAATATTGATGATGTTGAAGCGGTGGATAATGGCTCGATATGTTATTTTACAAAAATATTTACACGTTATGATATGCACAAACTGGTACGTTATTTATTATATATATTTTTCTTATTCAATAGATGCGTTTTAATGTGATTATACTTTTATTAACAATTTTCATTTTAATTATGTTGTAGTACCTGCGCAAAACTTTCAAGAGACTGCTGGATTGGTTGCCAAGAAATATATCCATGTTGAATAGGAAGAGGGTTCGTTGAATAAAATTTGTTTGTATGAAGCAAAAAATAAATCACGCGGGGTATATCTCACAATTGGTTGGAATTCGTTTTATACATCGAATCATCTTATTATTGGCAACACATATTCGTTATCGTTCGACGCCATAAGTAATATAATAAAAGTTACGAACATAGAATAGTTTATTACATTTTGCAATTATGTTTGGTAGTTATACCGTGCATAATTAATAGATTTGTGTATGTATTGAAGTATGTGGTTTTTATAGGTTTCCATAGTTTCGAATATATCATATTTTGGTAGAGTATAATTTTAATTTTATATACATGGTGATAGTATGTAATAAATATTGACTCAATCACTATTAATAATTTAATATCTCTCTCTCTCTCTCTCTCTCTCTCTCTCTCTCTCTCTCTCTCTCTCTCTCTCTCTCTCTCTCTCTATATATATATATATATATATATATATATATATATATATATATATATATATATATATATATATATACACGAATTTTGTTTAAATAATGGCATGATTTGGCGAAATTGATGCATATCATTGAACAAAATTTATACAAAATTCTATTAATTTAATAATCACAATTTACGATTTTCCATTATTATTTAAATTAAGGGAAAATTTAATTATATATTTTTGGGGTTTTCGTTATTTAATCATATTTTTGTTTTGTGATAGGTAATTTGTTTTAAATTTAAAATTTAAAATCAAATCTTGGAAATCCTTGTTTTAATGTTAGTTAATTGTTTCCATTTTTACATACTGTTTTATTTTTTTGGTCATGTAAACACAACTATAAAACTCTCATAAACTCATTCATCACCACCATTCGGTTTATGCTACAACACTAGAGACAAGGGTTTTTTTTTTTTCCATTTATATTTTTTGCCTTTTCATTTTTCAGTGACTATGTTAAATTCGTTTATGTTCTTGTGGCAATTTGTTTTGCCCGAAAGATTTTTCTGACAACTTAAATCTTTATGTTTTATCTATTAGTTTGATTGTATGCACACACTAATTATTTAATCATATTCCATTTTACTTTATTTTTTATTTTCTTTTTGTTTTTGTTCGTTATATTTATAAATCTAACAGTTTTTTTTTTCTTCTTATTAATGATTTGTAGGTATGGACCTTGTCCAGCCATATTTACATTGTTGCACCTTCTATATAAATTGTACATTCACCACCCAACTAGCAATACTCCGGTTATTTCTATGTTACACTCGATGAAGATTATATCGGCTATTTTTTTACTGTTGATCTATACACACCAATGAGGGTGTGTGTGTGTATTTGTGTATATATTAATGGTAAAGATCTACCCGGTGTTGTTTCGAATTTCCTTTCTTTATATATTTTTTTCAATCTATCCATAACTGAAGAATATATAATATATAATATATATTATATTTTTTTAGAAGTGACATTCTTACATGGTTATCTATGATTATATATTGCAGAAATGGGCAACGTTTGAATCGTTTGGGAGATTATTTTCATTTCATGTTGGAGAATATTTATTAATTTATTTATATTGTTTTTATTTACATATTTATCGAATTATATCATAATAATTTAGACCGATTCTATTTTGTTTAGTTTAATGTTTTTTTAACAACAGTGCGAAATACGTACTCATTCCGTTATAAATATTATTTACAAATGATATTAGTCGTTAAGTTCTTAAACTTTTTATATGTTATTGTCATTTAACTACTCATCAATTCATATTTTCCTTTTCATTTTCTGTAGGTTTTTAATGGTAATTTTGAAATTCAATACTATGTATTTCATGTTCTAGATTCTTCAAACGAATTTGCAAGAAATTTTGCCGAAATGATAGTAATTAATTTCAGTTACTGAGTAGACCATTACTTCAATTATATGGATTCAAACCTTATACATTTTCAATTTCTAAATTTTCCTTTTAAAACGTTGCCAATATATTCTCCAATTTACATAATTGACTCTTCTCCAATTTACTTATTTCAGATGATTTGTTTTAATTCTTTGGATTTGCTTACTATTCTAATCATACCATATAAGTTGATATTTAATCAATTCAAATTTATTTGCATTGCCGTCAAATTTATTTTGTTTTGCTATTGGTCTTAGTCTTGATATTGGTATTTATATTGGTATCAATATCAGTATCAATATCAGTATTAAATGTTCGTATCAATATCAACATCATTATGCGTATCAATATGTATATATCAGTATGCGGATCTATATATTAGTATTTATATTAGTATCAATCTCGCTGTGAGTATCAGTATGAGTATCTATATTTATATCGGTATTAGCATCAATATTAGTGTTTCTGTCAGTCAGACTATCTATATGAGTATCGATATGAGTATCAG